AGAATAGGCAATATTATGCGGAATAAAATCTGAAATAGGTGCAGGAGTTTTTATTCCAATCTCAAATATCCTGTGTATATAAAATGATTATATGCGTTATCGATTATAGAGACTAGGAAAATAACATTCCGTAAACTTTTTGTGATATTTAGGTTTTGAATAGATGTATTAACATCAACAAAGGTAAATAATGAAAGATTGCATAAACATTTTGCAGATCTATCTCTATGAATCGTTTATTAAACATAGAATACAGATTAGATCACCCCCACCCCAAAGAAAAAATTACTTGATCAAAGTCATGGTAACATGCATGAGAGGGTTTTTGTTGTTACCGTTGTCAAGCAACTTTGAGCGGTTGAAAATTCGGAGCTAGGCAAACTGTTCGTTCATTAGATAGTGAGGTCTGATATGTTTATATATCTTCCGCATGCAGAAATTGAGAGAGTATCTCCTTAACATATTAGATCTTTTTCCGGCGGCGCATTAAGGGAAGAACTGAAGTAGAGGTTTCGAGAAGTTTGGAGATCTGAGGGGATGCAAAAGTGTGGAGGATCCCACGGTTCGGCGGGGGAGGAGGATGAGTAATTTTGGCGAGGCAGGAGGCTGTCACTCTGTCAGGCCGGCAATGGAGGTGGTTGTGACCTTTGCGGATTGGTTCTGGAAGCCTTCCGTTGTTTGTACCTTTTAGTTTTTTTGCATTAGATTGAAGAAGTACGTATAGGTTTGGAGATGATGTTCTGGATCATGGGCTTATTTTATTTGGGCTTGTTCCATCCTTAAATTAATGAGTTATTCATGAGTGACCCAAATATTAGGTAATTAGGTAATGTGAAAGGGGTCAAAATTTTCACCGAATATTTGAATTGGATTTTAAAGGAATGGAGGTGAATGATTAACAAAGAAAGATGAATTCATGCTTAGGAATTGGTTGAATTTTAACAAGATGAAATATCAAACACGACAAAATGAAGAATAATGAGTATCCGAGTGCAAATAGCTTCAAGCCGTAAATCAAATGTACGGATGTTGATTGTATCACGTGATTTTGACTTTAATGAATAAATGTTTTAGAGGGTGGGAGACTCTTCCTTTATATTTGCTGATTTGCAAAGTATGTTAATTTAAGAAGTAATTTTTGTGTGATATAGTTACCAAAATAAATTTAGGGGCAAGAACTTGTCATATAGGTATCATTGTTTTGAAATCAATGAATTCGGCTTCACATCTATTTTTGATCTGTCATGACAGTTTATTTTTCAAGAGTCAATGGAAATTGCTAAATTAAAAATTTAAAAATAAAAGTAAAAAATTAGTAAGGTAAAACCTACATTTTATTTGCATTTTTTTTTTGTATATTCTACTTTTTAAAAATTCTACTTTATAGTTTTATACGTAGTATTATGTACGTTTTTCATGTTTTTTTTTTATTTAGATGGAAGCATCAATGGTATCCCTACAAGCAGGGCCGGCCCGAACATATTGAGGGCCCTGTTCAAAATGTAATTGGAGGCCCTAAAACACAAATTTTAGGGAGTCAAATTAAAATAATCATTAAGAAAAGTGTACAAACAATTTGTGATAGACCTATATTATTTTATTTCCCTAACAAACAAAACATCATAACTCCCAAAAACATATTAGCAGGGTGCTTATGAAAAAGAGTGGGGCTACTCAAGAAGATTAAAGATAAGAAAATAGAGGTATATGCACGTGATGAAGAACATGATAGTACCTTAAATACATAGATGGAAAAATATTGAAGTGTTGAACGCTGCAGAGCGCAACTTTGAAGGGTTGAACTTATCCTTCTGCTCCACTTTGGATTCAGATTTCAAAAGAAAATACAAGAAACTATTTGAAATAAACTGTTTGGAGAATAAGATTAGGTAGAACAGAATTGACAAAGAAATTAATATAGATTAAAGTAATTTTGTAAGTTGTAGGATGTTTTACGAGGAGTCACGATGTCACATCGTTGTAGGATGATTCCTTCTTCCGACTTTCCGAGTTCCTAACCGGCGGTTGTCGCCAAATCTCAAATACGGAGTATTAAATATTCAAATCTTTTTTTTGCTCTAACCAATGGTACTAAACAATGAATTAAAATTGGGGGCCCTCTTTTAGTGGAGACCCTGTTCCACTGCACCACTTGCACTCCCTTAGGGCCGGGCCTGCCTACAAGTTTCAACATATAGTTCTGCGTTAGAATATTCATAAATGCGACTCCATGCTGCTGCAAACTTTTAGAGTATATAGAGTATTAAAATTGAGTAGTATACACTTTTATCAAAATGTCTAAATGTGGAAATAATAGAGTGAGTTTCAAGTTATGCGAGAATACACCGTTGGTCACCCTGATTGGCTGGCATTACTAGGGCAATTCATATATTATATTTTACCGCTTACAAGCAACCATAATATTGGTTAAGTGATGTATACCATCATCTATTCAACATATTCGTCTTAAGTATGGTTGTGTTATGGTTAGTACGTTGTGATATCTAGGGATATACATAAGGGTAATATACATGCATGAGTAAAACTCATACAAAATCCTGGTATATGACTTGGTGACATTCTTTTCTATTGTATGACCAGGGAGAATTTTTAGATCAAAATATACTAAAAAATTAAAAGTCACGTAGGAGTCTTTGGTTATAAATAGTGAAATTTGCAATAAAATTTCCATAAACGTAGACTATGGAGGAAAAAAATGGTTGGTTCCATTTTAAAAGAAATTGATAGTGTAATTTGAATTACTGAGCACAAATAAATTTGAAAGAAAAATTCTCCAACCGTGCATCGCACAGGTGAGTTTACTAGTAGTAGTAGTACTAATAATAATAATAATAAATCATATTAGAACTTTTATAATCTGATATGAATGTTTTTGCTCCGGTCTGAACATTTTTGTTCAGATACTAATGTTTTTTATCCGAATCTTCTGACCTGGTCGAATATTTCTGATATGATATAATCCGATCTGGTATGATTTGAATCTTTGTGATTTATTGATATAAAATAAGAATAAATATTAAATAATGAGCCCGTTTGGTGACTCTGTTTTTCGGCTTATCAGGCTTATCAACTAGTTTTTTAACCAAACATGTAACTTTTGTTTTCGCGCGCTGAATTGTGTAATAATAAAAAAAGTAAGGTTGGAGTTACTTTTGTGGCTGTATTGGCTAAAGTTACTGTAGATGACCATTTTAGCTATTTTTCATATAATATTTTCTTTGTTTTATTAATAAAATATATTTTAAATACAATTCATTCATAAATCAGCAGAATCAGTGAATACAGTCAATTTAGCCAAAACTTCATAAATTTTAGCAGAATCAGCCGATTCAGTTTTATCAAACGTGATCAATAAGAATAAGACAAGATGAATTCTTAAATGTTTTCTTGATGTGTAGTAATAAAAATAAAATAGTCACCCGCACGGGTAGCTTAATTGGTTTAGTAGTGAGAAAATTGAATGAATGACCAATGATTAAAACCCGCAGCGATTGTGTGGAGGTTACAATTCATGTGTGCAGGGATGGACCTTTGGTGCGCACGGGTAAAAGGTCTACTACCATTGAACTGACGAAGTCACTGTAATTTACAACATCCCATAATTTTAATTGCACCCTCATAAATGTTTTGTACGATAGTATAGTTGAAATCATGTACTAAACACCATAAAATTACATTTGTAAAAGAATATATGATTGTGATGCTAACATAAATTTTTATACAAAGCTTGAGATATATATATATATATATATATATATATATATATATTACCTCCGTCCCAAAAAACTTTGTCATTTTCAAAACTTTGAATAACTATATATTTTTATTGAAAATTATTTATAATATCAAAATTATACTCCTTCCGTATTTAAATGATCTCTACATTAGGGGTTGACACAATATTTAAGGGGGAAATAGTAGATGTAATGAATAGTGCAGAAAAAAGTAGAAGAGAAAGTGAAAAAGTAGGAAAGAGAAGATAAAAAGATAGAAGAAGTAAAGATAATTGAACATTTTTAAAGAAAAAACATACTAAAGAGTGTATCTCGCCCCAAACCCGTCCCATTGCCATCCGTAAATCCGTAACGGCCTGTTTGGATTGAGTGTTGAGGAGTGTTAGTAATGGAAGTGTTAGTAAGTGTTGATGCTAATACTTGTTTGGGAGAAAAATCCAGAGGTGTTAAGAAGTGTTAGTAATGGTTAGGAAGTGTTAATAATAACCTTCTCAACACCTCAATTGTCCATTTTTTTAACACCCCGATTTGGAGTGTTTTGAGGTGTTGGACAATTATTACCCTTCTCATTTACCCGAAAAACATAAAATGCTTCGACATTTCACTTCGAATGTCTTTCCCACGGGTCTGATGGTTTGTTTTTTCATCTCTTCTCTTTACTCGTTTCTTTTGCCTCAAGGTAAATTTATTAACACTTCCATTATTTACACTTCATTCATTTGACTCTCCCAAACAAGGTAAAATTATGTCTAACACTTACACTTCCCTTCCCTTCCGAGCCCTTACTAACACTTGCTAACACTTCCATTACTAACACTTTCAAACACTCCATCCAAACAGGCCCTAAGTGGGAGAGATGGGCAATCACACATATTAATTGTGTCAGTGGCAACGTGAGGATTTTCAAAATGTTGTACAGTGAGTATAGTGCTGTGGTGGGTCACCGGTCAGCTGATGATGAATTGAAATCCGTTCGCTCGCTACGCAAAAATACATTTCAAAATCAAAAATAGAGCCGGTTTCATTTATTTAGGATTAATTAATTAAATAATATCGCCGGCCGGCCAAAATGACGTTCGTTTTTTTATGCCAACACGACTACACTGCATCGGATCCCAATCCTAGTCCTAATTTAACCGGCTGCGGTAAAAAAAGAACCCCCACTCACATGCATGAATAACTGTGAAGATAAAACGACAAAATCACCCCTGCCCTGCCCTGCCCTGCATCTATCTATCTTCTGTTCAATTACAACACAAGCACCAGAATTCTAATAGAGAGAGAGATAGAGAGACCCCTCCCCTCCCCTGCCCTCCCTCAAGTGTAGTCCCTCTCTAATTATTATTATTATTATTATTATCGGACAAGGCCACAAACGTTTTGGCTGCTTTTCAGTTAGGATAAGACCGGTGACGGAGCGCCGGCGGTTCCAGTGGCGTACCGCATCCACCCATACCTAGCTGCTGCTGCTGCTACTACCCCAGCGTCTCCTTCTTCAACATTATTGCACTCAAGCTTGGTGCGAATGGTGGCTTCCGCGCTTTTTTGCAGCAGCAGCAGCAGGAGGAAACACCCACTCGCATTACCTCTGCTCTTCCTCTCTCTCTGCGCTTCTCTCGCTTTCTCCGCCCGCCTCCCGGCCTCCCGCCGTGACCTTCATCTACATAACCACTTGAAAAGGCTAAACAAATCTCCCGTCAAAAGCATTCAGGTTTACATTCGCACTATTTTTCTTTTTCGTTTTCAGTGGATATACATTCTTTCTCTCTCTGCATTTTCACTTTCTGGAATTTGTTTCCTCTGATAAAGTTTTGGTTTTATCCCTTCTTCTTGTTGTAATTATTCGACAGAGCCCGGATGGGGATATCATTGATTGTGTGCACATCTCCAAACAGCCTGCTTTTGACCACCCTTTTCTCAAAGACCACAAGATCCAGGTTTGTTCATTCTTCTCCTCCTTTTTTTAGCTCCACTCATCTGCCTCCTTTTTAATCTATTTTCCACAACGGTTTGAGCGGCTATACCGGTTCTATTGAATGTAATTTGAAAATAATAGTAATAAATTAGTAGTAATAATAATAACGAATATTAACAGACGAGGCCAGACTACCACCCAGAAGGCCTCTATGATTTGGAGAAGGAATCTTTTGTTGGAACAAAACAAGGAACAAATCCAATAACTCAGCTATGGCACACGAATGGACATTGTCCTGAGGACACAATCCCTATAAGGAGGACAAAGAGAGAGGATGTAGCAAGGGCAAGTTCTGTGAAGAAATATGGGAAGAAGAAGCACAAGAGCTATCCTAAGCCCAGCGGTACAGATCCTGGCATTGTCAGTGAAAGTGGTCATCAGGTACTAGAGATTTAACTTTGGGATTTCTTGTGGCTTGCATTTTACAGGGGCAGGGAAAGATTAATTTTCATTTTTTTCACTTGCTAATTCTTCAATGTAAATGATATATAGCTCATTTCGAAAGCGTTGTTGCTGATTTTTCATAAAGGAAAAGCACTTTGCAAAATCTCTATCAGCCAAATAAGCAAGTCAAATGCTACTGCTTATTCATATAAATAGAATACACCGTTGTTTTCTTGAAATGGACCCATTAAATTATAAATAGATAAATAAGTACAACTTCAACATCCAAGTCTTAGTCCCAAAAGAGTTTGGGGTCGGCTAACATGAATCAACATATGAAATCAGAGCTAAAAAATGGTACAAAAAAGCCTCCTAAATCCAACTCCCAAATGTACTCTTAATTGTTGCAACAAAGTATTGTGATTTGAGCTTATATGTCGATTTCAATGAAGAGTCCGACACTCTGACTGTATCTGAATTGTGTTGATGATGCTGGAACCAGCATGCAATAGGTTATGTACAGGGGGAGAGATATTATGGAGCAAAGGCGACCATTAATGTTTGGGAACCCAAAATACAGCAGTCTAATGAGTTCAGCTTATCCCAGATCTGGGTTCTTGGTGGTTCTTTTGGACAAGACCTTAACAGCATTGAGGCTGGTTGGCAGGTTTGGTTCCATCCCCCAAATGTGTGGTAATTTATAACTAAATATCAAATTATCAATATATACATTTGAGCAATTTTCTCAATATATTATGCATAAATTTGTTTGTTGAAAACCTCACAGTAAACCGTTGGTGAAAAATGATGAATTACTGGTTGATGTCACACTTGCGCTATTTTAGTGTAGAAATTGTTGACGGGGGGTTAAAGATGGTCTAATGATGCAACAATTTGCAATAAAATGCACCAAAAGATGAATTATTTGCTTTTTTATTGACCTAATTGTGCAGTTTGTATTGTGGCGATAGAGGGGATAACCTCCAACCATCCAAATGAAATCCATGGATAAACCTTATCCTCTTGATTCTATGTGAATGGTTTGGGGAGTAATTCCAAACAAATGATTCATATTGCACTGCAAAATTTTAACCATAGTAAATTACAGCTATCAGAAATCTTCAGTTTAAGCTATGTTTTAATTTTCTTCTATTGATTCGACTATGTTTGACGTGCTGAAGTGTTTTGAACATATTTATAGAAATACAAAATCAAGAATACCTTTATTGGTTAAAAATGTACTCCGTATCCTTTTTGAGACATTAACATTTTAAAGAGAATACTTTCTTTTTGGGGACTGAGGGTGTCTTTTCCTTGTAATTTGGTCTAACGGGAGAGCTTGTGTAATCTCAGGTCAGCCCAGACTTGTATGGTGACAATAACACTCGGCTGTTCACTTACTGGACAGTAAGTAAACCAATGATACCTGTAGACTTAAATTACCATATGTTTTAAGAAACAATTCATTTTATGCTTCTTGATATGTATCATCTTTACTGATGTTGAAAACTCAAAATATCTTGTAGAGTGACGCATACCAAGCCACAGGTTGTTACAACCTTCTCTGCTCGGGATTCATTCAGGTCAACAGTCAAATAGCAATGGGTGCAAGCATATCTCCTGTTTCTGCATATCGAAATTCACAGTATGATATCAATATTCTTATCTGGAAGGTAAATTCCAAATTAATTAGACCAAGCTGATAAAGTAAATGATGTTTTATACGTAGTATATTTTAGGGAAAATATCATTAATCTTGTCCCAGGCTTGTAATATCAATTAGAATTATCTGTCTTTCATTTGTTAAAGTACCGAATTATTCTTGGTAATCTTACTATTCAATTATATGAAAGTGACTCTTAACGTAAAGTAATAAGACATTGAGAGGCCGTTTGCAACACTGTTTTTCGGCTTATCAGACTTATCAGCCAACTTTTTCACCAAACACGTAACTTTTGCTTTCGCGCTTTGAATTGTGTAATAAGCAGAAAAAGTAAGGTTGGAGATACTTTTTTGGCTGTATTGGCTGAAGTTACTATAGATGACCATTTTAGCTATTTTTACATATATTTAGTTCTTCATTTTATTAAAAAAATATATCTTAATTTTTTCTCTTAAATCATTAGAATCAGACAATGCAGTCACTTCAGCCAGAACTTCATAAATTTCTGCATAATTAGCCAAAACAACAGATTTTCGTTCTACCAAACGGGCCTGAATGTTTAAGAAAAATCTTGATTTTTAGCTTATTTGCTCTAAATTATGTAGTTTGTATGAGTTGCTATTAAATTATATTACCTCAGGTAGCTGAGTGCTTGTTTCTGAAATTCGTGGGGTGCAAGTGATATTACAACATATATGGAATGTCAATGATATATTCCCAATATATATTAGAAAGGGGACAGTGATGACACAGCTTAAATACCTTGGCATAATACTTTTAATGGAATAAAAACTTCAATGCAGAAAGTGATTTTTATTGGAATGTTGAATCATTATTCCCACTCTGCATTATGAGCATCTTTAGTGTCTGAAATCTTTCAAAATCTCAGCTTTTAACTGCCAATAGTACATTGATTGAGTTGGTCTTGAAAAAGTTGTTGCTTTTCAAATAACAGTTGAGTAATCTTTAATATTCTGCTGAAATTGCGTTACTCCTTGTTGATGTTTCAGGAAGTGGTTGGAGTTAAACCTTTTGTTGATTTATCACAAAGTGGTTGGAGTTGAAATTGTGATTGAGTTGGTTCACTTAGTTGTATAAAAAAGAATAAATTGATATATTATATACATATATAAAGAAATAAAAGAAAAATAACAACAATAATATCTTTAATATAGTAACCCCGTTTAAATAATTTAGACATAAGTAAGGATAAAGACATAAGTGTCATTTTCTTTCATCACCCAATAGAGTAACTGTGTAAATAATTTGTTTTCGTAAAACCTGGCCTATATTATGAACAGTAACCCCGTTTAAACGAGTGCCGGCCTCTATTACTGAGGAAATATTTTGGAAAAAAAGTAGAGCATATATTCTTAAAGTAAGGTGTAAAGGTGCCATTTACACTCATCATTGCGTCCAAAAAGAAAGAAAGAAAGAAAAGTGAAATTCCCTTTAAATAAATAACCTTTTGATACAAGGTTAGATGGGGATGATACAGACAAGTAATTGTTTGGGTTTTGTTGTAGGATCCGAGTCAAGGAAATTGGTGGATGCAGTTTGGGAGTGACACAGTTCTTGGATACTGGCCATCCTTCTTATTCTCATACTTGGCTGACAGTGCAAGCATGATCGAATGGGGTGGGGAGGTGGTGAACACGCAGCCTGACGGCTTGCACACCTCTACCCAAATGGGCAGCGGCCATTTCCCAGAAGAAGGATTCGGGAAGGCGGGGTATTTTCGGAACATCCAAATAGTTGACAGTTCAAACAACCTCAAGTCACCCAAAGGCCTTGGCACCTACACTGAGCAGTCAAACTGCTATGATGTCCAGACAGGCAAGAATGAGGACTGGGGCCATTATTTCTATTTTGGAGGCCCTGGTAGGAACTCTAACTGCCCATGAAAGTTGAAAAAGTCTAGCCCCCCATAACTTCCAATCTGTATCATTAAATGTAATCTAATTTTTCCTTTTCTTTGAGGATTTTAGGCATCAGTTAGTTGTAATTGTGAACGTATGTTTATATAATATATGTTCTCGTAAAGTGTTTTGATATTTTATCCTTTAACTCTTTGAGTCTTTTGCTCGTTTCAAAGTCTTTGTTCTTTTGTAAGCTTACAAGAAAATGTCCCAAATCATTTCTCATGCTAGGCAGTAGGCACTTTGCTAGTAAAAATAGGTAAAAGACACCTTTGTCACTTTGTGTTTGTAATTTTATTGTGCCCTTGAATTAGTGATGGACCTGGGCCGGGCCAAGGCCCGGTCGGACCTCGGGTCTGGTATAGGTTGGCCCAGGACCGACCTGGACTATGGCCGGTTCCGGTTCGGGCCGGGCCACCCGGCCGGGTCACGGGTCGGGCCACCCGGCCGGGTCACGGGTCGGGCCACCTGCCGGGCCGGGCCGTTTCATTATATTTTTTTTTAAATAATTATATATTATACAAATTCCTATTAAAAAAAAGTTCAAGTGCATTTATTTGAAATAAGAATTACATTTGAGAATTGAGAAAAAAATAACAATATGAAATACATTTTCTAATAAATATCAATTGAGATTTCCGCCACCGTTGGTTGTTGTTTTTTCCCTTTGTCACAGGACTTCATATGTTTTATTGGCATCCCGTATTCGTGTGAATGCCCCAAGCAACACTCTTTCTTGCACCACTTGCAAGTTGTCCACCACAGTCCGGTCTTCGGGTCCTTTTACTTATCAAAATTGTTTTGCATAAGGGAAGATGTACTTTCCATCTTTAAAATGATACTCCCTCCGTCCCAAAAATAACTTCCCACTTTCCTTAAATAGATGTCTCAAAATTAACTTCCCACTTCAATACTTTCCTTATTTGGCAAATTATCTACATCAAAAAAGTGATAAACAGTGCCAAACAGTGCACTCTACAGTAAAGTCAAATTTATTTCCTAAATATGTGTGTAGGTCAAACTGGGAGGTTGTTTTCGGGACAGAGGAAGTATATGTATAAGTAGGAATGTAGGATAATAAGAGAAGATGAAGATGGAGAAGAGTTGGAGAATAAGAAAATAAGTATTAATGAAATATAAGTAGAGAAGTAGATATTATTATGTATTAAGTATATAGTAATAGTTTATAAAGTATATTTAATACTTTAATATATAAAGTATATATTAAGTAGATGTAGTATGTATGTATGTATTAAGAGATATAAGTAGAGATTAAGTAGATAAGAAATATAAGTAATATAGTATATGTATTTATAAGTAGATAATTAATATATAAGTAGATATAATAATTGTATAAGTATTAAATAGTAAAATAAAATATAATGGAGAATAAGAGAATTTGAGAAGATGAATATGGAGATGAGTAGAGAGTAGGATTTAGGAAGAGTTGGAGAAGAGGTGTGAAAAAATGTTTAAAATTAGGAGTATTTATAGTTTTTTTTTACCCCCACCCCCCACCCCCCAAAGGCCCCGGACCCCCTGGTACCCACCCAACGGCTATATAGCCGTTTAGGAAGTGGGTCAAGTGCTCAAAAGGCTTTTTTAATTTAAAAGGATTTTTTTTTTTAAAAAAATGGATCATTAGGCCCGGGCCCGACCCGTCCGGGCCGGGCCGCCAAACACTACACCCGAGCCCGGACCCGCCACCCCCACCGGTTCGGTGCCCGAACCGGACACGGACCCGAGAACCGGGCCGGTTCCGGGCCCCCACAGTAACGGGCCGGGCGGCCCGAACCGTGTCCACCACTACCTTGAATATAGACTACATGCTTCTTGCCAAAAAAGAAATGAATGCATTCATTTTGAGTAAAAAGAAAGTGAGATAATCAAAATGGGATGCAGGGGTAGTAAATTGTATCCAAAAAGGTTAAAAGTAGGCAAGCAAGAAAATGGGGAAAAGTGGAAAACAAGGAAATGACAAGAAACACATTTAATACATTAGATACGAGAGATTTTATGGTTGAAAGTTGCGATGTAAGGTGTTGGCAAATTTGTATTCAATGGCTTGCTTTCTCTCTCTAGATTTTCTTGTAGACTTTCAATGTGGTTTGGTCATTTGGAGATAGAGCTCGGGCTCGATCAGAGTGTACTATGATCGTTCTAAGTAATTAACAGAATTTTGCTCACTTTAGTTGATAAATTCACTCAGTAAAAGATATACGAAGTACAATCCAAAAGTCCAAAACGATCATATGAAAACTCAGAGGAATGCGTTTGAACCTTTGGACCGCAACAAATTAACCTCATATAAGTCATAACATACATATATTTCAAATGAACGATGGGAAGGAATATGAAGGCAGCAGTAGCAAGGACATGTGAGTGGGGATAGGGGATGTTTTTATTCGGATTACTTTTGGCCACCCCTTTTTTTGTTTTCTTTTTGTTTTGTTTTTGGAGAAAAGGATGCAAAGGCAAAGTACAGTAGTACACCCACCATGTTATGTTGTCGCTAATGGAAGTCTTTTCATCTTTTAAAGACTCCCCCACTCAAATTGTTCTTATTTAAATTCTGGATTTAGCCTCGTCTCTTATTCAATACTCACTCGTTAATATTCATATCTACCCACTTTTCTTTTTTTGGATGTAACATTTATATTTTCTCATTTCTAAATTTTCCCATTATGTCTTCAATAATTTAAAAAATAATACACTATTACACCTATTTTTTTGGATCTATTCTTCATTCCATCACATTATTTCACTATTTTCCCATCATACCCTCAATAATTTATAGGGAAAACTGTCAAATATGTCCTCAAACTTTCATAAAAAAGTCAATTAAGTCTTTCTATAGGAGACTCTGTTCGATCGTCGCGATTTGGAGCGGTTCTCGGTGGAATTTTTTGATAATTTTTTTTGAGCATCTTATTCATCAAGTCAGGTTTACTCACACCAAATTTCAGCTAAAAATTTAATCGGGAGCGCATTCAAATTAATTTGAGAACGCAAAAATGCGCAGTTATCTTCAAGAATTAATTTGAATGTGTTCCCGATTGAATTTTTAGCTGAAATTTGGTATGAGTAAACTAGACTTGGTGAATAAGATGCTAAAAAAATTTCATCAAAAAATTACACCGGGAACTGCCCCAAATCGCGACGGTCGGATAGAACCTCCTATAGAAGGACTTAATTGACCTTTTTATGAAAGTTCAAGGACCTATTTGACAGTTTTTCCTAATTTATATCCCCTTTCACTATTCTTAATCTCACTCGCTTTGGAAGTTTGAAGATATATGTGATACGGAGGGAGTATATCAATACATTCATAATGTTGAGTAAACACTTAACACTTGCACCTCCAAAAATTTAACACTTTTTTTGGCGAGCCCATTTTTTATACAAGAATTTCTCTTACATATATGGTTATATAAAATTAAATTTATTATAAGGTAGGTTTTGGATCTAAAAAGATATTTTCTTACTTAAAAGAGCACATGTAATTCATAATTACCATTACACTAGAATGATATACGACAATACATTAACATATGTTCTGAAGATACTCCTCCTTATCGAGTTGATAATTGGGAAAAGAGTCAAATAAGACCATGTACTAATGAAAAAAGGTTAAATAAGCCCTTAATTAGAAAATTATGTCCGGCCGTCGCCATTTGGAGTGGTTCCCGGTGGAATTTTTTGATGAATTTTTTTGAGCATCTTATTCATTGAGTCTAGTTTACTCATACCAAAATTTAGCTAACAATTCAATTGGGAAGACATTCAAATGAATTCTTGAAGATAAACTGCAGTTTTAACTGCTCTGTTATCTTCAAGAATTCATTTAAATGTTTTACTGATTGAATTTTTAGCCGAAATTTGTTATGCGTAAACTAGACTCAATGAATAAGATGCTCAAAAAATTTCATCAAAAAATTCCGCTGGGAACCACCCCAAATGGCGACGGCCGTACAAAACCTCCTAAATAAGGGCTTATTTGACCTTTTTTTGGTTAGTACATGGGCTTATTTGCCCCTTTTCCCTTGATAATTTGAGCCTAATTTGAGTACAAAACTTCAGATCTTAAAAAGTTATCAAAACCACGTTTGATGTGATTTAATTGTTTATTTAAGTGAAATTACCTTAAATAAGATTAAAAACGTTTCTAAATTTCAAAAATAGAACTGTCGTGTTTTTATTCCCAAAATAGGACTAATAACTGCCATGTTTTGGCAGTAACAGACTTTAAACATGATAGTATTTTTCAAACTTGACAGTAATTACTCATATTTTGGGAATAAAAATATGACAGTCCTATTTTGGATTTTACAAACGTTTTTAGTCCCATTTCGGTAATTTTCCCCTCTATTTAACCGTCATGATTAATGATAACTGATTAAGGGCACGTTTTGATCAATTTGTACACCCTGATGTTGATCGGTTAGATTTGGAATGAAGGACATGTTGAAGTACCTCTCCCACACTCGCATAATACAAAATAACAAACTAATGTATAGATAATAAAGTTAATTTCACATGGTAACTTATTCCCTCTTTGCTGAAAATATGTCATACACATATCATAAATAATGATTTGTTTTGGATATTGCTGGGATATTGGATCTCGGCCTATTATTACTCAGGACGTCCAATACACTAGCATGTATAAAGCTCGATAAACTAGGCCTATTTCGGCCTAGTATGGCAAAACTGTACCTCCCTTTCTTTTTCTATAAATAGGAGGTTCTCCCTCTATTTTAGGGGCATACTTCTTCTCTATAACTCCTACTTCGCTCCCTAGAAGCTTGTAAACCCCATTAATTGCTGCTTCAACCTTACTCTTATACAATGTAAATGGTGATGGAAAATTAATAAAAAAAGAGTGACTTGAACATTAGCCCGAAAAATCCTGCGGTTTTCCCCCTTTCGGATTTCCACGTAAAAATCACGGACTCATACCACTTTATATTTTTTATACAAATTTGTGTTGGATTAATTTATAACTTAATTAATAAAGTTATAATTCCCGTTTATAATAATTATGAGTTCTTTTTGTTGATGATAAATTCTTGAACAGTACGCTAAGTAGCTAATTAAGTACATGACTTAATTCTGGAGTGTTACACATTGTTATAAGTGCAATATTCTAATTAGTCTCTAGTCTAACTATTAGTAATATGGGATATCGATAACTAAATATCATACTGGCATGTAGATAAATTGATGGCTACATTTGGCAATATGAGTTGAAATTGGAGACTAATGA